AGCAAACGAAATCAGCGAAACCAAGAATGTCATAAACCTCTTTGGCTTTTTGCAATATGAAAGCACACGCTTGGCTTGTTATGTGATCCATTCAATTTGGAGTGCAATAATGACGAGCCAGACAGCTCCAGATTGGCAGCTCCAGATTGGCGAATCTGGAGCCAGCTCCAGATACAATTTCAATCTGGAGCTGGAACGACTAGTTTGTAAACAAACTGCTTTGGACGCTTAACTACCGATGGATATTCAATTATTTTGAAAGACCTTTTTTTCTTGTCATATTCCTTAGTACGTGATGGAAAATGAAAACATTATTCCGTTCCGTTCGTCCATGGTAGCTTCTGAAAGATCACTGTTTTTTCTGACAACGGGAATGGCCAGCGGTCGGATAGCCCGCGTGCAGGCCCAAGGGAGCAGGCTGAAGGGAACTTGATAGTGGGCCTGCAAGCAAGGCCCGGTATTTTGTACTTTCCGCGTTCGCCCACGAACGCGGCATTCTGATTGGCTGTTTGCTGTTGGATTCTATAATTAGGTCAGTGATTCATCACAAAGGCATAGACAAAGGCTCTCGATAAGCTTAAAATTCGAAAATTGATCACTTTTTTCGATTACAAATGGAACAAGAACAGACTGTTTATTGTTTACTTGAAGGAAGAGATGTTTTTGCCGTTATGCCAATGAGGATTGCTTGTCGTGAGGTGTTGGAATAGCAACATTTAATACGAATGGGGTATAAAACTATAGTAACCTTTACTTGAGTTTCATTAATTTCAAACAGACTTGATACGTTATATGTTCCTCAAGAAAATTATCTTTTGGTTGATGTTGAGATGCAGTTGCATGTAAGCCTATTCAAAATACTTTGCGATTTACAAGGCTTCGCTGAGAGAGCAAAAGAGAAGACGGTATTAAATTGCCGTTTGAAACGAAACGATCTGGACTCTGAACGCTCTCTTCTTTTGTAGAGTTCTCACCAAATGAAATAACTGAAATAAATTTCGTACTTTCCGCCGCCAACAAGAATTGCACACACGATCTGATAAGTGAGACAATTTATTTATAACAATGGCGACAGCGAAGCAACATTATAAATGCTGATGTGGTCGCACGACTTCCCTCACGATTTGAAGTTTGAGACTGGTTTTCTGTTGAAATTCGTCTTAATTTGCCTGTTCCGATTTTAGTTGAAAATGAGCACCGGCAAATTTGTCAATTACTGACGGCGTTGCTTGCTTTTTTGGAGTTAAAACGCAGCCATTTAGACATTGTTTATGTTCTGAATAAGCAGAGAAAACCCCGCAACATTTTAATGCGAGTTTGTTTGTTAATATTTGGGTGCTGTCATTGGTTCTTTTTTGACAATTGACGCGCGAATGGGGCGTGTTATGAAAAGGGGCGTTTTACAAAATACCGGGCTTTGCTTGCAGGCCCACTATCAGTTCCCTTGGGCCTGCACGCGGGCTAGCGGTCGGATAGATCGCAAAGCTTGTTTAAAACCTTATTTTGTTACCTTTATAATGAAAAACTTAAAAATTTGATCGATGACCATTCTGGAGAATGTATTCAAAAGTAATTTCATGCGCTCAACTTATTTCCACGTCGCGAGACCGCGATAAATAACTCGCGCAAAGTTGAACTGTCTAATTTCGCGCACGGCCCAGCTGTGTTAATTTTATCCTTCCGTGAATACAACAACTTTGGTATCCATAAATTTACGCTTTCGAGGAGTAAGAAATTGATATGTTGATTACTTATTATCATTTGTTGCGCTTTTCTGAAGAACTAACGATATAAACATGTTTAATATCCGAAACACACAACGCAGACGAGATCGCTAGAAACGGTGTTATTATGCGGCTCAAGTCGTCGAAAGGCCATAGCATGTCAAATGCGTCTAGCATCGTCTAAATTGCTTCGCAAATTTCTTGCCAATTTCGCCCTGCCACGAATTTCTAAAAGATGACCCTTCTAGAGAAACATTCATACTATCATATTTTACAGCATTTGAAACTTTAGGATGCATATTCACCATGAGCAACTCATGAAAACACTAGCATTCGTTACCGAGGTGAGAAATCAACTTTCAAGAGATGTGAAATATTACACCTAAACAATATTCTGTGTTATCTGGCACATGCAAGACATTTAATAATCTCAGGGGAAAACCGTATTAATTATAATGTCGGCATGCAAATGCAATGAGGATTGAGGACATGGCAAGGCATTTAAAAAGTGCCGAGGAATAGGAACAAGGCAATTTTCCTTGTTTCGGTATGCGCTGTATTTTTGGACCCCAATCGCTGCTAATCTTGTTGTTGTTGTTGTTGTTGTTGTTGTTGTTGTTGTTGTTGTTGTTGTTGTTGTTGTTGTTGTTGTTGTTGTTGTTGTTGTTTGTGTTGTTGTTGTTGTTAGGGGGCGACGCTCTTTGAAAAAACCCTAAGGCTCCGTCATTACTTGTCTGATCGGAATGAAATTTGACACAATTATTCTAAGCAATATTCCGCATCGATTGACGGTGTTCGATTTTTCATTTTTGACTTTAGAAGCAAGATACAAGCAATTTTTGACTGTATTCGTAGCAAATAATATTTAACAAATATAAAACATTTTCCGTGTTGATATACAGTTATATCAACACGAGTGGAAATTGGGAAAACGAGAAATTGTGTGGAAACACGACGCCCGAAGGGCGGAGTGTTTTCATACAATTTCGAGTTTTCCCAACTTCCACGAGTGTTGATATAACTATATATCAATACGGAAAAAAATGTTTTATATTTGTTTTATAATATAGCAATGTCAAAAGCCCGAAGAATAAGAAAAATTTCCGTGTTTACAAGCGGCGGAAAATTTCCCGTGTTGACATGGAGTTATATCAACACGGCTCTTAGCCAATCAGCGTTCAGAATTTACAAATGCTATATTATAAATACATATCATTAATATTCAGCAAATATATATATCAGCAAACGCAAACGATAAGAAAGACATTGTCTTGTCTATTGTTGTGAACACAATCACAATAGTCTAAAGCTTCTCAAGAATGTGAACGACTAATTATAACAATTAATTATAAGCGTTAAATTAAGTTGACTAAATTTAACACGCTGGCTTAGTTTCTCAAAGCGTAGTGGAGTAATATTGCTATCTGGCTGTCATATAATATTCATAGTCCGATAGAAAATCGTGAACCGTAAAAACAAAGACATGAAAATTTGTTTTTAGCACAAGCATGCAGTTATGAAGCCATGACTAAGCGAGTTGAAATTGCATTAACCTGGCAACAATTCAGATAATTTGTACCTTAACTTATTTTGTAATTAATGGCAGGCACGGCAAGGCAAAATTTGATGTACGGCAAAAGTTAGCTGACTTAGGCACGGCATGTTTATTCTAAATATTGTGGGACATTTAACTTATCTATCGAATTCAAATGCGAGGAAATACTTTTGAAAACTGCGCATTTAGTTATCTATGCTTTGTCCAGATTTACACCTCATTTAGGCTATATACACACGGCACTAGACACATTTTGCCCGGATAAAGTGTATCTTGCATGACCAAATTAAAGCAAAACATTTAGCGAACTCAGTCTACGTTGCAAACTTCGAGAACATTAGTTTCACAAGTGTCTAGTTATTTGTTTATCAAGTCAAAATCTCGAAGGTTTTGAACGTTTAACGATTTGCACAAGATCGAAACTGGGTCACGCAGTTCCTGGTCCACTATAGTACGATCGTACTTGTTTCAATACATGAGAAAACACGACGCTTTTTCACAAAGATAAAATGTTTTTAAAGCATGCGTAGCCGCGTAGGTTTGAATTTGCGATTGCGCTGATCATGTTAATAAGGAAAGCTTAAAACACACCCCTCATATTAATTACTTATACGGGCAAAAACGATGTTTTAGCTTATGTGTTGAAAAAAGAATACAGCGTATATAAACCTATGCATGATATTATGGTTAATACGGTTTTCCCCTGAGATTATTAAATGTCTTGCACGTGCCAGATAACACGGAATATTGTTTAGGTGTAATATTTCACATCTCTTGAAAGTTGATTTCTCACCTCGGTAACGAATGCTAGTGTTTTCATGAGTTGCTCATGGTGGATATGCATCCTAAAGTTTCAAATGCTGTAAAATATGATAGTATGAATGTTTCTCTAGAAGGGTCATCTTTTAGAAATTCGTGGCAGGGCGAAATTGGCGAGAAATTTGCGAAGCAATTTAGACGATGCTAGACGCATTTGACATGCTATGGCCTTTCGACGACTTGAGCCGCATAATAACACCGTTTCTAGCGATCTCGTCTGCATTGTGTGTTTCGGATATTAAACATGTTTATATCGTTAGTTCTTCAGAAAAGCGCAACATTTGATATTATGTCATCAACATATCAATTTCTTACTCCTCGAAAGCGTAAATTTACGGATACCAAAGTTGTTGTATTCACGGAAGGATAAAATTAACACAGCCGGGCCGTGCGCGATATTAGACAGTTCAACTTTGCGCGAGTTATTTATCGCGGTCTCGCGACGTGGAAATAAGTTGAGCGCATGAAATTACTTTTGAATACATTCTCCAGAATGGTCATCGATCAAATTTTTAAGTTTTTCATTATAAAGGTAACAAAATAAGGTTTTAAACAAGCTTTGCGATCTATCCGACCGCTGGCCATTCCCGTTGTCAGAAAAAACAGTGATCTTTCAGAAGCTACCATGGACGAACGGAACGGAATAATGTTCTCATTTTCCATCACGTACTAAGGAATATGACAAGAAAAAAAGGTCTTTCAAAATAATTGAATGTCCATCGGTAGTAAAGCGTCCAAAGCAGTTTGTTTACAAACTAGTCGTTCCAGCTCCAGATTGAAATTGTATCTGGAGCTGGCTCCAGATTCGCCAATCTGGAGCTGCCAATCTGGAGCTGTCTGGCTCGTCATGAGTGCAATACGCTCCGTGGTCTAAAAGACCGCGGGCGCAAAAAAACGAATGACTGACGATATCGAATAAAGCGATAATCATTACGTCTGGCATCGATTTTCTCATTTCTTTTATTATTATTTAAACGTATATAACCGTGTATCATTTGTTCATTTTTGATGTTGCAGTAATGTCAAGGTCATGGCTTCCGTCAATCTGCAAGAAAAAGCTAATTTTACAAGGATTAGTAGACTTTTGGTCGACAAAGGGACTGAAGCTTTAAGAAATACTCTGGATGCCATACATCCTCCTGCTAACCTACCCGCAGTTCTTAATGCCAACAGAACAACCCTTCTAAAGTTAAAACCTCGAGTTATCAATGATACCCAGTGGGATTTATTGTTTCCTCCATCCGGCAACCCACCAGATTCGAAGACCTTTGATGTTACATTGCTGACTGTTCTTTTGCGGAATCTTGCTGGCTTACCCCCTCCTGCAACAGGCTGGAATACGATGCCTCCAGACACCGATAATTCTCTTGGAGCAAATATTGCGCGAATCAAATTGTTTAGAAATCAAGTTTATGGCCATGTTACCTCAACACAAGTAGACAAAATAACATTTCGCAATTTATGGCAGAAAATTTCTAAAGCTTTGATCGACTTGAAGGTTCCACAAAAAGAAATCGATGATTTGAAAACATGTCCTTTGGGTCCTGAAGAAGAAATCTATGGGCAGTCGCTTAAAGAATGGGTCTTAAAAGAAGAAGAATGTAAGAATATGCTGGACGATCTTACAAGAGGTGTTAGTTTGATTCACAGTCAGCAAAAGGATGACAGAGAAGTTATCGAGCAAATTCACCAAAGGGTACAGCAGTTGTGCACTTCTAGTTCGAGTGAGTCCGAACTTCCAAGATCTACGCATAACTCGGAGCAGAGTAAAGCTAGTGAAAAACACAGTAGGGAAGAACAATTATTGCAAAAGCTTGCAAAACATAATTTCAAGAGTAAAACAAGAAGTAAAGTCAAGTTTTTCCACCCTGGCACAAGGGAATGGTTATTGAAACGGATTTACAGTTGGTTTGCAGATGAAGATGGGTCGAGATTATTGCTATTAACTGCCGGGCCTGGGTTTGGCAAAAGCGTGTTCGCTGCAAGAGTTTGCGATATCTTTGAAGAAAAGGGGAGATTGGCAGCATGCCATTTTTGTGATTTTAGCAATTCGAATCTAAAAGATCCTATGATGATGCTACAGTCCCTTGCAAGTCATATGTGTCAAAATATCGTTGGTTTTAAAGAAAAGCTTCTTGATCAGTTAAAGAGACCATATAAAGCCGATAGCCTGAAGGACGCCTTTCAAATATATTTGCAAAATCCGCTTGATGAGTTGGACGAAGAACATTGCTTAATTGTGATCGATGGCTTGGATGAAAGTGCGACTGATGATAAAAGTGACATGGTGAAATTGATTGCTGATAATTTTCCAGATCTCCCGAGATGTGTCAAAGTCTTGGTGACTAGCCGACCGGAGCTATCCTTACAAAGATTGGACCATATCGAAGTGATAGAAATTGATGTCTATGATGTGGACAATGAATCAGATATTCTAAAATATCTAAATGTTTGCCTTCCAACCCTTGCAGCCAGAGATGAAATGAATCATTCAGCACAACCTCACCATTGGAATGTTCTTCCTGCGATTGTTAGAAAGTGCGAGGGTTCATTTCTGTATGCTTTCCACGTTCAGCATGAATTGTGTAAACGCAAGGATCTTGACACCATGACATTTGAAGACATTGTGTCTTTTCTTCCTGAAGGAGTGGGTTCTATCTACCAAGCTTATTTTCGTCGCCTTGAGATTGAACTTGAAGCCGCAATGAAAAGAAATCCTGATTTATTTAAGCTCTTGGAATTGCTTGTAGCTATTGACACAATGAAAGCAGAACTTCCCCTCAAGTTCGTGGCTAGGGCTCTTGGTTTAGCTCTTGATTGTCGTGAAACGAAAAAAATCATTAACAAAGTTAACGAGGCGGTATCGTGCTTGTTGTACGTCTCAGACGATTTGATAACCGTTTTTCACAAATCCGTATGTGACTGGCTTCTTGCAAATGGATACGACGATCATGAGTATACTGTCAAAGTCAGTGATGGTGAAAAACGACTGTGGCTGGTATGCGAACAGGTTTTCCAAGAAATAAAAAGAAACGTTTCCTTAGGACACAACTTGAAGCTTACCAACGAGGTGACGCACGCTCTGGAATACGGACAGAAATATCTACTTGCCTGTCATGTTAAGGATAGTTTTTCATGGTTTGTGGATATGATAATTGTTTATGTCCTTTTACACGTCTATCCTAAAAGTACTCGCCCTGTTCAAGACATCTTGGAACAGGTTCTTCGGCGTGATGTGGTCCTAAGTGTTCAATTACGACAACGATTTTCATGGCATTTTGCCGAAATTAGTTATCTAGGAAATCACAATTTGTTACTGGTATTCGATTATGAGTCCACGAAACCTTTTTCCTACCTAGAAAGTGTCCTTCATTATTCCCCGGAAGGTTGTTTTACTGATGACGAGAGGAAAATCGCGGAAGTGATTTTAGCAAAATCCCCCCGTTGTGTGAAGCATAGTAACGCGTTTGGAATGAAAACTTTAAAGCCGCTTGATACCAAACTTTTTCATTCCCTCATTGCAGCTGTTGGTGTTTCTTCAAGTAAGAAGTTAGCCGCTATTGCATTGGAAAATGGAATCATTTGTGTTTTAAGCTTGCCAGAACTGATCCAATTATGGCAGTATTCCACCGGATACAAGTGCATTTCCTGTTGCACCTTTGCTCTAGACGATACGTTCGTTTTGTATGGAAAACTTGAAACGGTACTTAACATTGAAGAGAAAAAGGAAGCAGCATTTTTTGGTGGAGAAGTGGAAAGGTTCAAATCTTGTGCGTTTTCTCCAAACGGCAAAAGGTTAATAACCAGCGATGGTTCAGACACCCTAAAGCTGTGGGATGTAGTTAGACGTAGTTTGGTGGCAGTTCTTTCTGCAGGAGCTCCGGTAGATGGCTGTACTTTTAGCAACACAGGACTCTTTATCATAGGGGGTGCAAACTATGCGAATAAAGGTGTTTACTGTGTATGGAACTCCATAACATTACAGAGAGTCGATCAAAGGTCAAACTTTTCTGGTAGTATGGGTAGAAAGAAAGATGGGGTCCTATTGAGTGAAAGATGTAATCGTTGTTTTCGGCCAGAGTGGAAAGAATTAAATCCTCCGAAAGGGTTGGGAATCATGGCATCCATGCAGTTGAATCGCCATCTTTCATATGTTATGATGTCGGTGTTTGATTCCATGTTGCAAGGAAAATGTTGCAAAACCTCCACTGGAATCTACAAAGAAGTGGACTGTTTTTTTCATTTGGATAGCCAAAAGTATTTGCGCGTAATTGATAGTATACATTTCACAACGCTCGCCATATGGGAAATTTTCACAGGAAATCCCGGATTTTTGACGGAGGGCGTGCCCATTCTTGACATTGCAGCGGTGGAAGATGATCATTGGTTGTATGGCGATGAGCAAAAGGTGGTTCTTTTCAGCTCAGTGCTCCCAAACGAAAATCAGTTGAGTTTGTCACGTCCGACATGCGTTCTTTGGTGCTCATTTTCTCCCGATGGTACTCGACTTGCCACGTGCACATCCGACGGATTTATCAACATCTGGAATGTCGATACGTCCCAAGTTTATCAAAGTCTTAGAAGCAATCTTGACACATCGTCAGCTGCTTGTTGGTGGTCGGACAAGTACCTTTTCGTTTGCCATGTAATTGACACCATTCCCAGCTTGTCAAGATATCCAGTTGATAGAACCTTAAAGATTATTGTAACCGAGAAGCAGCCAATGCCACTTTGTTCCGTGAACAACCAGTTTTTACCGTTTTCAGGGTTCCTGGATTTTTTTGAAGGTTATCTTAGCTTTGAGTGTGGTTACACGGAGCCTGTAAAAGTTATCGATGTCAAGAAAATAGGACATCCCAAAGTAGTCGTATTGCCAGAAATTCAGCCCAAGATGAGTATTGCAGTTTCGTCCCGTGCTTCCTTTGTTTTAGGCGCTGGTATAGGCGGATATTTTCTTTGGAAAAAGAATGAAGCTCAGCCATCCGTATATAATGTGTTTGTTAGGTTCGAGCATCCATCACGTGTAACGCGGTTTATTTTTAAACCTAACCGTTATGAGTGTTGTTTTAGTAATGATTCTAAATTCGCTCTTGTTTCCTTTGTGATGTGGCAACAACGAAGGTTCGTTGTTATTGACGTGGATACTGGTATTCTGGCTATGGACGAGATCCACGACGGTAAAAGACGGAGGTTATGTCTTGCAATTCCAAAAGTATTCTGTACTGACAGGGTTGTTATTCATTTAACTTCTAACATGATAGAAATTTTTGATTTGGAGAGTTGGAAGCTTCTTGAATCGTCCTTCCAGCGGCATCTTACCGAAGCAATTCACTCGAAATTATCACCAAAAGGAACTGTCCTTGCAGTACCTAGACTAACTGGTGATATGGGATTCCTTCATTTGTGCATTCCCAAACACTCTTCAGTATCGAATGGGCAGAAAAACTGGGAAAGGCTGGGCGGTGTTAAATTCGTCTTACCTGTACCTAGTAGTTCAGGGAATATACCGGAAGTTAAAAAGAAGGTCAGAGAGAGCTTACCTGGACCTGGTGGATTTGGAAACATACCGAAAGTTGAAAAGAGGGTCGCAGAGAGCTTACCTGGTCCTAGTATACCGAAAGTTAAAAAGACTTTCTGATGTACATAATTTCTGAAACAAGAAAAACTTGTGTGCTGAGAATTTGAATGGAGTGACAATAGAAATTGGACTTTGATTTGGGAAGCGGTTAGACTTTGCTTGGAGCCAGTCTAAAATGGAGAAGTAAGACGTCTCCTTCCCTCCGCTAGTCTGGGAGTTCACATCGGGCAAGTGATAGCACTCCCTAGCCCCCCTTACCAGGGTTACGGTACTCTGGTGTGTTTTGGAGAAGTCTCTTAGGACGAAACTACTTATGAAATGAAGGACAACAAGGCGATGACGACGAAGTTTGCTTTGGTCATATATATATATATATATATATATATATATATATATATATATATATATATATATATATATATATATATATATATATAATGTAATTAACAGTGTAAATACACGCGATGTTAGTTCAACGCCCTTTCGCTTAAGTTAAACTCTTAAAGTTAGATGACGTCACGTTGGTCATAGAAACTTTTAAAGGACATTGGCAATAAAAAATTAGTTTGTCTCAATCAAAAGAACTCTTAAAATTATATATTAAACTCTATTACCGATTTGTCATATCTTGCTTAGTTCTCGAAATATTTAGACCGAAATTTATGAGCTTTCCGCCATCTTGGAAAAATTCTTTACCTCATTAACTATGGTTTTGATGACGTCAGGAGTTGGGTTAACCATATAAAACTACTTTAAAATGATCGAATAACAATCCAAAATTGTTTGAAATGTTTTTAATCATTTCTAAATTTCCGACAGCAACCAGAAACGAAGTTTTGTACCCATATTGATCGCTTACTCTCAAGATAAAAAATTAGCGTGACCCCTCTCTTGACGTAACATGCATATCCTCAATAATCCAAAATGGCGAACAGCTCACTTTTTTCAGTCGAAATATTTTGAAAACTAAGCAAGATATAAACAATCTGTAATAGAGTTTAATATATAGTTTTAAGAGTTCTTTCAAATGAACTAAACTAATTTTTTATTGCCAATGTCCTTTAACAAGATGAACTAAATGTAAATAATGTATGTTGATAAAAACAAAAAAGATTGATCTTCCATTAAAGCAAGGAATGATTTTTTCGTTTAGTATATTTTTCAATCAGTCACGAATTGTTACGGGGGCCATTTTCAAGCTCTAGATCAGCAAAATAAAGGTTTGATGAGTGTTCTAACTATGTTTTAACTTAAATTGAATAAAGGATTACCGAATGGTTTTCCGTGCAGGATTGCGTGATACGCTTTCCGAAAGTCTCGCGACATCCCAAGTGCTGCATGGATCACGCTATCCTGCTTGGAAAACCATTTGGTAATTGTTTTATAAAATAACTACAGTGAAACAATGACATTTTGAGAATCGCGCGAAGGCATTTTAATCCTCGTGCAGGATAGCCTGATTTTGCACGGCTATTGACCAATCAAATTGCGTGTTTCACTGTAGTGAAACATGATAGTGTTGGGGCAGAGGTGTTGGGGAAGCATTAAGAACAGCTAACCAAGGTCGCGTGACTGCAAAGTCTCGTGTACACTCTCATCCTCGTTTGGCCAGGGCTCAAGGCTTCGTAATAGGCCAATACTCACACTACGAACAAACTAAAATTGATTATATTATGCGATGTTACAGCATTGCAGTGCAGTAGCAAGCTCTTCGGGTGTGAGTCGGGACTGTACGATTTAAAAAGGGGTTTCTGTGAATTTCTGTTAATTAAATTAGAGAATTCCAGCTTCGCTGTGTTAACGGTGCAACCGAGGGTTAGAACAACGGCGTCTACCGGCATCGATGGGTTAGGGGGTGATTACATGGACCGGACTAGCCCGGTTAACCGGGTCAGCCCGGCTGAGCGAGATGACTTTTAATTTACAATTACATGTAGCGGGTTAACCGGGCTGAAGTAAGCTCATATTAAAAAGTGTTAATACCTAAATAATTGTTGCATGCTGGATATTAACTAAAGAGTGTTTATATATGCGGAATTTTAGGGCTTCCCTACATTGTGATTTGTATTCGTTGATGTATTTATATTAGGTATTGTTTCAAACGCGTTTTCTTCGCTTATGCTGCGCCACTAAATCCAGTCGATTCACTATCTAAAACGTTTAAGCGTTTATTGATGCTCAAAACTAGTATTTTAGTGCAAATTTGTGTTTTAAAAGTAAAAACCGTGCGTTTGCAATTTTCAGCCCGGTATGCTGGGCTGAAGCGATTACATAGTGAATTTCAGCCCGGCTAGCCAGGTCAGCCCGGTTGGGACAGCCGCGACCCCGGCAAAGCAGGCTGGCCCGGCTGCCATGTGATCGAAATTCAAAATTTATATGAGATTATTATAATAAGCGGACTAGCCCGGCCAATGTAATCGGCCCTTTAATAATGTACGTTGCAACTTGAAAGTGCCATTAAAACTTTCTTTTCTGCTTTCAGTTTTAGTAAAAAAGCAAAGGGTTTCTGACAAGCCAATTTGCTGGCCAAGTGGAGGTGATTCTTACCAGTTACTCTACCAGCTCTTTTATGTGTGATTTTCACTGTACTCGTATATGAAGAATTACCCTGAGTTATTCTTCCGCCGCATCAACTAACATAAGAAAACTTGTCTGGCATTAGAAAAATTCCGAATCCAAAGAAAAATGGAGTAGCCATTCCAGGGGCGTGGTGAACGATTCCAGATTGGGGGGGGGGCGTCATACCATAATGACCAACTTTTTCAATGAAAATGACCAACTTTTTCGTCGACCCCCCCCCGTCGCCAAAAAATTTTCGGTCAGTGAGTGTACCATTTTAGGGGTAAAAAAAATTTTCCGGACATATCCAAATTTTTCGCGACATAAAAAATTTTTCCGGATATCACAAATTTTCTCCGTTTATCAAAGAAATTTTTCTAAAATTCTGAAAATTTTTTGGATTTTCTAAAATTTTTGTAAATAATATAATATTTTCTTTAATATTTAAATAATTCCTTTGACCGACTTTTCAAATTTTGACCAACTTTTCAAAGTTCATAATTCATCAACTAACATAAGAAAACTTGTCTGGCATTAGAAAAACTCCGAATCCAAAGAAAAATGGAGTAGCCATTCTTTTTCTTAAGTTATAATTATAACTTGTACAGTCAAAACAACGAAATTTCACCCCATTGTTTTATGATTGCGTTGTGAATAAATCCGAAATGACCAGTAACATTCTTTGCCAAACTGTCTTCGCTGGCTTGTTTCTTTCTTTAGATATTCAATGCTTGATATACAAATTGTCCTCACTATAAAGTCAAATTGCATAATGGCTTTTTTTTTAAAAGTTCTTTTAAGTTATGTGTCGACATATCATAGTATGTTGACATAACACAAATGTACGGTTTTATGATTTCGATGCACGATATCCCAAGATCTTGAAGTTTTTTCAGAAATCATTATGCAATGTGCCGTCTTGGTGAGTATCATTTGCATATTAAAAATGTTTCAATATCTTGGCAAACTCTTACTCGGACAATTTGACTTTTATTTGATGAGAGCTAGCAGAAGCATGATAGTCGCAGTTCTCATCAGCTCTTATCCTCGTCTGACTGGGACTTTACAGTGGTAGGTTTATCAAGCTGCTAACAAAATAACATAACTAGAGTTCATGTAATCATGAATTACTTGTTGGTCGTAACGTCTAACTTTTTAAAGTACGTAGAAATTGGGTAGACATTCTCAGAGTCTGCAGTGGGACCAGTAAAACACACTCTTTCGTCAAGCTGCAACTTGTCATTCATAACATAGACACGCATGTGGAGTGATAGGGTACCAGACCATGTGTACTTTTTACCAGGCTTGATCAACTCCGCTAAGGTCCTATCTGTTTTGATCTTCTCAGATTCGTTCATACCAAAAAGTAGAAGGTTTCCAATTAAACCATTGAAAACAACAACTGCCTTGCCCGCATTTTTATTTACTGCACTGGTACCCACCGTAGCTAGAGATAACAGGAAATTAACAACAGCAGCAAAAGACGGCCAATTTATTCCGTGTGTTATCCATACATCATGTTCAGTATCGTTGAGGATTGAACATTTGGAACCCATTATTGTTTTACTGTTCTAGATTAAGAAAGTATAATTCACTTAGATGTTGTAGCCACAATATAGTTCTGCTGAATGTTCCCCTCCCTCCCCCCCCCCATTTTTTTCTCACCCCATGTGCTACTCTTTTCTACTTTATTTTGCCATAAGGTAAAGTGCCGATACCCTTGTTTAAATAATGAATTTCAAAACGGCACAAATCTAAATATAAAGTAAGCATAAAAGTTTGGCAAAACTTGCTTGTGAGTATATTTGAACTATATTCACTCAAATGCAAGATTAACATACGAGATGTATTCTATCTCGGCAATGACAGACACCTCACAAAATATTGGGGGGGGGGGGCGAATTTAGCTTGCCACCAGATGACCATGCACCTTCTGTTGCTGGAAATTTTAGTTCTTTAACCCTTTATGTGGCAATGCGCCCTTCTTTATTAGTTTACTTTGTCTATCGCCAGATGATTTTACTTTGTCAAGGAGAACGTGCTGCCACTCGATGGGTTAAACTTTTTTGTCCTAATTAAATATAATTGTCACAGCTTTGTTACACAGTGCATTATTGGGGGTTGGTTGCACGCCTCCCCCCCCCCCCCTGCGCTAGTGCCTGTCAATGTATCTTGGCTTAATGTTGTACCCCCCCTGGGGGTTTGCAGATTTTTTTATTTCTCAACTGTCAATTTCCCACTCCCAGGCAAATAAAGAAAGCCAATTCCCCCATACTGGGGACAACATTCACAAACCATTTTTGCACACAAACACATCAAAATTTCACAAATGTCAACTTGTGAAAGGCATCCATTAAGCGATTAAAGGATTAACTTCCCATTCTCTCGTGCCAGGCGGTAGCTTCCAGGGTCTTAGCTAGGATTTTAGATCTTGGGCGTGTTTCTAATGACCAGGGCGTGCACATGTCAATTACTTTGAATAGCAAAATAATGGCTCTAGTTATGCTCGCCAACAACAATGCCTGTGGTTGTTCTATGCTTTGCAGCCAAATACAAGGCGAGCATACGCTCATATTGCGCACTGACAATTAAGTTATTTCAACAAAATTAAAACCATTTCAACACCATACAGTTCCCATTATCCATCAAAACATTAAAACATCACGGATCACTTTTGCCAATTCAACAACAACAGTAGATTCTACAAATTTTCTTGACGTAAATAGGAAGAAATTCTGTCTGTCGTAAGTATAGCACCACCTTATTTTATGAACCTATATACACGGCCTTATATAAATAGTGTAGCCGCGTTCATTTTATCTAACCGTGTTTTTGCACTTTTGGCCGCGATAACACGGCCAACACGGCCCTCTAGCTAAGACCCTGGTAGCTTCCCATTCTCTCGTGCCCGCGAATACCGCCTGCTACGCAGGCTATTTAACATTTAAATGTTGTGAATTGTGATAGATTCTTGATTTCCATATAGTTGGCAAAATAAAGATGTGATTGGGTGGGACAAAGGCCAGACAAACTCGATTTTGTGTGGAGAGCTAAGGGGGTGTCCCCCAAAAAATTTGAATCTAGAAGCTCTTAAGTTATGGCAAAGATTTTTTAGGATATTAGCTTCTCCTCATCTCTTTTGGGGAGCTTCGCTCACCTCAATTTTACTTTCTGATCCATTACCCCAGCATGTAAGACAATAAAGTGGTTTGTGAGGAAATTAGGAGGGTCGTCTGGGCCTGGAAAACGTTTATATTTTGTATGCTCAATGACAGCATTTCTGGCATTTTATGGAGCATCCACAAGGAAAACGAGTAAATGAGGAGACTGCACAAGACCTGCACAAATAGGTATAGAACTGCACATTTTGTGTGGAACTACCCTAAAATAAACCTTGATTAAAGGCCATGTTACAGTGTTACACAAGGTATTATAAACTCGCAATGCAATCTCTGATGTACAGGCATGTTCATTAAAGCTAGATTACAGTCGCTTCTGCGCATGTGTCAAAAAAGTAAACAAATGTGAGCACACTTGTTTTGATTTTGTGTGCTCTCCAGTCCTTATTCGGATATGCGCGCTCAAAATGGCCGACTCGTAAGAGTTATATAATAGAGCCGTCCACTTCAAAGGCAAATTCTTCTAATGCTGGTCGCCA